AGCCCGATGCGGGACTCGATCCCAGGACTCCAGGATCATGACCTGAGCCGAAGGCAGTCGCTTAACCAACTGAGCCACCCAGGCGCCCCAATTTTTTTTTGAAGTTCTTGAGTCTATTATTAGCTCAGGGTCCATCTGCTCAAGACATTTGTTTTTATTATTAGTCCTTATCACAAAGCCTGTTTGGCTGGCTCCAGAGGACTTTATGGAAATGAAAGATTTCTCGTTGGCTTTTTATTAATATTTGCTTTTCAGAGGATAGCTTCCATTTATATAACCCTCTAGCTTTCCCTGGCTGGTCAACATTTCTCTCCTTGTCCTATTTTCCTTGTCAATACTTCAATACATGTGCAATATACCTTTGTCAAAATAGTATTTACAGTTCTTTCATTTCTGCAGTCAGCTCAGCAGGTGTAATCCCTTAAAATCATTGAATGAACAGATATTATATATACTAAAACAAGTATTATAGATACTATTACATTAAGATGCCATTATTTGCATTGAAGTTTAACAGTAGGAATGAAGGATATCCAGTGTAAAATAATATGATGACAACAGCAATTCAGTGGGAAAAAACTGGTTTCTTTAATACTGAACTAAGAGAAAAACCACCATCACCAAAAAACCGCTGGAAAATCCACGCATATTTTATGAGATATTCCTGTATGATGAAAGGATTGTAAATAAACACAGAGATACGCAAATACATCCATGTATGTGAAGTCATTTCCAATCGTATTGGTGATTTAAGCTAGAATTTCTTCAAGGTTACGTAGCATTACATGTATGTTTCAAATGGGTAGACTACCCACATTTTCACTTACTGTGATTAAGTGTAAACGAACTTTCCAGGCTGCTAAGATGCTGAAGTCGGGCCTGCATTACCCCTGATCTGTTTCGAAGAGCTGGCATGGTTTGCGATTTTCGGTCTATTCCAAAGTGCTTTGACAGCCAGGCATCGTGCACCCTAAAATAAATTTTAAAGTTAGGAAATGGAGTACTCTTCGTACCAGATCTCAATGTTATTTAAAAAAAAAACAAACTTAATAAATGATTAGGTTTCCACATAAACAGTATACTGTGTTCAATATTCTATCTACTATTACTGGGCTTAAATGAGGCAGCACTGGAAATTGTATGAAGTTTTAGTGTATATTTAAAAGAGCTTTTGCGGGGTGCCTGGGTGGCTCAGTCGTTAAGCGTCTGCCTTCGGCTCAGGTCATGATCCCAGGGTCCTGGGATCGAGCCCCGCATTGGGCTCCCTGCTCCGCGGGAAGCCTGCTTCTCTCTCTCTCCCACTCCCCCACTTGTGTTCCTGCTCTCGCTATCTCTCTCTCTGTCAAATGAATAAATAAAATCTTTAAAATAAATAAATAAATAAAAGAGCTTTTGCTATGAGAATATAACTAAGGAATTTAGAAAAAGCTTCTTCCTTCCCTCCTTCTCCTCAAAAAAATCAGAGTCAAGTGGCCAACACTCCATAAGATGCAGTCTTTTCTCAAAAGGCAAGGAAGGAAGGGCCAGAGTCACAGAAAATAGTGGGAGGGATACTCAGAGTGGAAATGAGGATGCGGAGTATTCCTGGGGTTGGGTGTGCAAGAAGGAATGCCTATCTAATCTGTTTCTGGCCTGGAGTTAAACCTGGATCAGACATGTTTTGAACATGTCTGTTACTAGGATGTGCCAACTTCTGTTTTCCTTCAGTTTAAAGATACCATTAAAAAAAAAAATTACAGCTGGGTCATATGGCAACTCAGGAAGAAAAAGAGTTTGTCCATCCTCTAGTAAATGGAGTGGGAGAACAGGGAGAATCGTAGAGATTAAAGCTCAGAGTGGTAGTCACCGTGCGGACTCCGAGTCACGGGGAAAGGCAGCAGACATGGTCACCTGAATTACCCATTATTAGGATGTTCCCGACACTCAGCAATAAACTCCATCCAAAGTGCCCCTTCAGTTTTTGGAAGTGCCATGGGCATTTAATTTTTTAAAAAGGACACTTTATTTGAGCTCCTTAACTCTACCCCCTAAAAACAGAACTTACTGAAATAAAGAATCTTTTCCTTAGGGTCCCTCAAACATGTTTTGAAGTATTTATTTCTTTAAGACTTAGGTGGCAAGGGGCGCCTGGGTGGCTCAGTTGTTAAGCGTCTGCCTTCGGCTCAGGTCATGATCCCAGGGTCCTGGGATCGAGCCCCGCATCGGGCTCCCTGCTCCGCGGGGAGCCTGCTTCTCCCTCTCCCACTCCCCCTGCTTGTGTTCCCTCTCTCGCTGTGTCTCTCTCTTGTCAAATAAATAAATAAAATCTTAAAAAAAAAAAAATGCTAAAAAAGACTTAGGTGGCAAAAAGAAGAGAACAGCTAATAGAGAGTGCACGTCCCAGCTGCTATTGTGGCTTTCTATTTACCTTAGCAACTGAAGTCAATATTGACAGGTTGTTGATAAAAGTGCAGACCTTACAGTTGTTCCCTCTTGATGACTTCCTGCCTTCCCCTGGATCTAGGCCCTTTCTCGCCCCAAGCACCCGTTCTAGGATTAGAACCGAAGCTCCGCATAGCAGGCTAGCGACTACCCTTTGGGAAACCTAAAAATATGTCAGTTCACACTAGCTTAATTTACAGTTTGAGTTGAGACATGTTAAATAAATCACGGGTAACTTCAGGTTAATGCAAAATGAAGAATCTAGGTTTTACATGGCATGATCAAGACTGCCACCTGTTGGAAGGAAGGGAAAAAAGTGGAACTTGCAACGGGAATTACCTTGCTATGTTTCTTTTCCCCATATATCTAAAGTGAAACAAACACACTCTAGAAAGAAAAACAACAGCATGGTTAGTAAGATATTGCCACGCTTTGCATTTTAACAAGTAATATTTGAAAACTCATGTGTTACAAAGAATGGCCTACTTAAACCATATTGCAATAATAAGTTTTGGTATACGGACATATACATATAACCACTTGTGGGCTTGCCATATCTTTCTAGATTTATTTGCCACAACTGCATTAGAAACAAAAAGCTCCATGTCTTCACATACAATTCAACGACATTTAAAAAGCCTGTCAATGCAAATGGTGATTCTACATCGTGCTCAATAATGTTTCATAGCAAAGATCTCTAGCTTAGCCATTAATACCTAAAAAAAAAAAAGTTTCTTAAGCCCTAAAAATTGGAGCAATTGCTATATTTTTATAATGGCATTAAAATACCTTCTATTATTCAGAAATCTCAAACACATCCAGAAGTTGGGAGGATAGCATACTAAACTCCCACGTACCCAGCACCCACCAGCTTCAACGATTATCAGCTTAGGGCCATTCTTGTTTATCCTCTACTCTGAACAGGTGCCCTCCTTCTCCCTCCACCCTCCCTACCTCCTGTATTTTTTTTGAAGCAAACCCCCAACATCATACATTTTCATTAGTAAATATTACGGTATAGTTTTTAGAAATCGTAACTGCCATTTTTGTTTGCTGACGTTGTCTGCAAAACTGCACATACCGATTATCCCCTTTTTGTTTTGAAAGACATGCACATAAAAACATCATTTATGCGTGCTCTTTATTTATTTATTTATTTTTAAAGTAAGCTCTGCGCCCAACCTGGGGCTTGAACTCACGACCCTGAGATCAAGAGTCGTATGCTCTACCGACTGAGCCAGCCAGGAGCCCCTGTGTGCTATTTATCTAAAAATTTCTTAGATTTCATTCTAATTTTTCTTTTAGCTTTCAGTAAGGATTACAGATAGCTCAGCAAACAATCTAGGACAACTTCCCACCTCTACCTAGGAAACAAGACTGGATTTTCCCCCAACTGCCTTGGAATGGATATATATATATATATAAATATATATGCATTTCTGACGCCAGTAGAATTAGCTCTACAGAGGAGTATAAATTCTACATTCCAGTCATTGAAGCTGCTCCATTAAGCCAGCATCTGCTCCAAATGAATGCTTTTGGACAGCTGATGCCACTTCTAGTTTTCCAGATCACAGCAAGACTGCTGCTGGGCTGAACAATGGTCTATTATTAGCTAATTTCTCTGATATCATAAGTATTCCATCTCCACGCTTTCTTCCATCTGTGTGAAGAACCTGGTGTGCTAGCCTCAATGCTACCAAAATAGTTGAGTATTTCCTATGTTATTGGCAAATAAGCTGTTGGGAAAAAAAGGTAATATTTTATCCCCCAAATAAGGAGAAAATTTATGAAAATAAATTAATATAACTTACTCTAGAAGTATGAGAATGTTTATGAGCTCCTGAGGAGATACTTTATTCCAGTAAGTTAAGAGAGTATCTGAAAATGGAATAAATAAAGTGGTGGATCTTGAAATAAGTAAACAGCACAGTGCACCCCACCCAAAGTACCAATAACCTAGCTTCAACAACCATCCAGGTGGTTCATCTATATCCTCTCCCAGCTCATTGTTCAATACACACACTGTATTTGTTTGAATTAATTCCAAATGTACTGCTTTATCTGTAATTATTTTAACAATTATTTTTATTTACTTTGCAAATATTCCTTTGGATGGCTCATACTAATCTTGATAGCATCCCTGAGGGCAGAGGAAGGGAAAGAGACCTGGAGTTTTTAATGAACTTCCTAAAATTTTATGCAACACGGTGTGCTTATGTGTACACGGTGTGCTTATGCGTACTTTTTCCAAAGGGAGGGTCAAGTACCTTTGCCTGCTACTCAAAGGGCTCTGTGAACCAAAAAGTTTGAGAACTTTAAACTTTAGAAGAAGAGTTTTTGTTTTTTTCCTCTTTGCCTTTGCATTATAAACTCTGAAGTCTTGGTATTATGTAAATACACACACACACACACACACACACACAGACTTAAAAACAAAACAACAGGCTGAATGAAAATGGAGTTGCTTATGCTAAGCCCCACATCACCAAACCAAGACAATTACAGTTTCTGCTCTCCCAGGAATGGAATCTTAAACCAGTCAATTAGGAATCATCTGATCAGCACTAGTAATGTAATCTGCCTGATAGAGCCCAGGCATCCCTTAAAAGTGACTTTGCAATAACCAACCCACTTTCTTTCCCTGTATAAACTGCCTTGCTCCAACTCCCTTCTACCGCTAAAAGTCTTTCATTTTGTACAGCTCCTCAGGACTTCTTTCTGTCTGCTAGCCTGGATACTACCGGATTCTAATCAATTTTTGCTCAAATAAACTCTTAAAAACATGCCTGTTTATCTTTTAACCAAATGTCCACACGCATATATCGAACTATTCCAGATATAAAAGTCCCTTAAATCTATCACATATACTTCTCTTTTGACTTGCTTCTTTACTTCCAACATAGTGATTTACTGAGATAAAAAAAAAAAAAGAAAAAAATACTGCTGCCACTTAACTCTCCATTCTTTTTTCATTTAATTTTTTAAAAAAGATTTTATTTTAAAGTAATCTCTATACCCAAAGTGGGGCTAGAACTCAACTCCGAGATCCTGCCACATGCTCTACCCACTGAGCCAGAGAGGTGCCCCTCTCATTCCCTTTTTATGCTACTCAGATATAGCTAAGGGTGCCAGTAGCTCTTAAACGTAAACATGCTATAGGTATCACAAAAGTGGTAAATGACAAAACTGCCAACCCAGCTAACAACCCGGGCGAGATGGGGATGGAAGACTAGGCGATGTTGGCTATACGGAGGGGGGGTGGGAGAGGGAGAAATGTAGGGATTTTGACTTTACTTCCAACTGTTTTTAAAGCCACGAGTGTTGATAATTTCCCAAACACTGATCCTCAAGAATAAAAATGCTAACATGGCATCAAGTTAGACTTGTTTTAAAAAATAAAGCGAACAGGGACTTCCGGTCTCCCCCACTCCTGCTTTTGAATGCCCTGCTGCTCAGAGAAGCCCAGATCTCCCAGAAGCCACCGGGTTTCCGGCCTCTTGGCCTCTCGTTGAAGAGCGGCGTGAAGGCGCCATCTTCCCTCTTCCACGCACCGGCTCTTCCCGCCAAAAGCCTGGTGCCTTCTTTCTGCCCAAAACACCGGGACTTTCTGCCATTCCCTGAACTACGCCTGCGCCAGCCTTGTGCCCAGAGACAGCTTCGCAGAAGGTCTGTAAAGAGGGTGACGGCCTCATCCTAGCCGCGGCTTAGTTCTAGTCAGCAGCTCCTCCGCCATTTTCTCGGCAACGGCGGTAGTGCTTTCAAGCCGCTGGCCTGTCTCAACCGTTTCCAAATCCTAAATCGGTGAGACATGATGCAGGCAGGGCACATGGGTGGAGGAGACAGGGGCGGTGGTAAGAAACCTTCAGGAAGAGATAAATTACAGTTTAGTGTATGTGATGTGTCGTCCGACGATTTTTTGAAAACCTGGCTAATGCTAAAAGAGCTCCATGACAAAGAGCTACACCGTTTACAGGCAAAATTAGCCAATTTGAGGAAAGACCGATTGGCAGATGGAAGGTGGATGGGCTCCATAGCCAAAATTAAAGAGCTGACCGAGCAACAGAAAGTCCTCAGTAGCACCATTCATGACTTGCGAGATCAGTTAAATGCAAAAATATGTGACCGCTGTTTGCTGAATGAAACCTACAGGAACACACTACAGCAAGAATTTTATGATATCCAACAACAAAATCTTAAGTTTATTGCTGAGCTTACTGAAGAAAGGAATAGGTTAAGAGAAGAAAATAGAAAGCTTTCTGCAAAACTAAACCTGAATCTGCAGCAGTTTCCCCCTTCTTTTTCTGATAACGATGATGAGGAATTCATTCCCTGTACTCAAAGGTCTGTGCCAGTTTTTTCGGTCAGGGAGCCTTCCCCAGGATCTCAGGGGCATCTGCCTAACAAACTGATAAAACAATCAAGTACTGAATGGATGAATTCTGGACAAAAGGAACGACAACAAAGTCCAAAGTTTTCGATTCCATTTTACAGTCAGGACCTCTTCGAGGAGCCAGAGATCTCTTGTGAGAAGCTTTCTTCTAATAGCAATAAGCCTACCAGAGAGAGCAGTGCCAATGAGAAGTCACCTGCAGGTTCTCCTTTAACATCTACCCTTGGTCCTCAAAGGGGGTATGGATTTCAAGATGTTTCAAACCTTCATGAAGACAAGCATGGCCAGCCAAAAAGGAAACGTATCTTCACCCAGAAGACCTCCACACAAAAGTGTGAAACTCAAATTAACTTCTCTTGGAGCCTTTCCAGTATTTCTACCACAGAAAACCCCACTATTCAAGTCATATCTGAAACTTCAGAGGAAAATATGCCTGATTATAATGGAAGTTCATTTCCCCCTTTTACACAGAGTAAGGAAAAATCCCCTTTAAAAACTGTATTTCCTTTTGACTCTACTTTAAAATCAAGTGGGAAAAGATCAAAGAGTGGTATTGCTCATTGCAACACTGGGTTTTCTGTAAGAGACTGCAGCAACCAGACGCTTTCCACCAAACAATCCACTGTGAAGAAGAATGCTAATGAATCTACAGGTACAGAGTATGATGCCGATAAGCCTCAAGGTGACACCCAAAGTTTCACCTTGGGGTCTGCAATAAAGAGAAAAGCTAGGATAGTGTTAGAAAAGGGGGGAAAGTAGCTTTCCCTCATCCTCTCAAGGAAAATGCTTTTCTTTTACAAGAGGACAGTCTTCCTGTCAATTTGGACTGTGTAACTGATTACCCCTGACTCTGATTCCCTTTCTCAGGAAATAATAAACAAGACAGTAAGAACAACAACAAAAAAGTTTGGCAAATGACTAAGACTTTGAAACAGTGAATTATTGCCAGTTAATAAAATATAGCCACAAATAGAAAAGGAAATTCATTCTGTAGAATCCCTGTACTTCTATATAAAAGTATAGAGGTCTGTCATCTTTTTGTTGAAATTAAGTTGCTACTGTTTATGAACCAATAAAGAAAGCCAAGAGAGGACCTGAAGAGTGTGGACTTATAAGAGTTCAACATTTAAATGCATACAGAGTGACTAAAATATTTACCAGACAAGACAAAGTAACTAGAACACATCCATTGAGAAAGGTCCAGAAGCAGATTTTTTCAGAAAAAAATGAATACGACTTTACATGCACAAAAGATAAAGAGAAGATGTGACACGACTGTGTACTGGTTATTAAAAATGTGCTTTTAAAAATCAAAAAGGAAGAGCAGAAGAAAGAAAAATCTAATGAGCAAAAACCAAATATTCAGCAAGCAAGGTCAACATTTACAAGAGGAGCAGGACTATGAAGTTCTCAAGAAACAAAGCAGTTATGGTCTTATCCATGACCTTAAAAAAGCTGCCAGAGGCTTGTCCCTGGTTATCACAGTATGTGGTGTGAGAGTGTGTGTGTATGTGTGCATGCACACGCACTCTACTGGAGTGGAGATGAGGAGAAGTAGTCAGCTGGGCATCTCCCCCCACTCCTTTCCCCACCCCCTCCCTTTTTTCCTCCCCCTGCCCCCAACTTACTTTCCCTGGGCTGTGGTGGTATTCAACTACTTTTCTTTTTCTGTTGTTTTTTTTTTTTTTTCATGTGTCTCTTAGGCCTTTTTTTTTTTTTAAACAAATTTATTGAGAGAATTCATGGGCCATAAAACCCATTTAAAAAGTGCACGATACAATAGTTTATAGTATTTTTCAAGAGTTGTAAAACCATCACCCCAGTTTTAGAATATTTTCATCACCCTAAAAAGAAACCCCGTACACATTAGCGGTCACTTTCCATGTTTGCCCACTTTTCACGTTGTGGGAAGAGAAAAACAGTGAGCTGTGGCTGTAGTTGTTAACGGATCCATTATCTCTCAGAATGAAATACCACTGGGGTCAGAAATGATCTCCCTTTATTTATTTCTTTCCCAAAACAGGGAGGTACATCATAGAGTCTCAATATAATCTTTGATTTTTACCCTAAGTTATACAGTCTTAGGATTTAAAGATTAGAGTTGTTTTTCTACGGTTTTATTAATACATTCTAGAATTTATTATTCATATCTCGCTATTTTTAAGGTCTTTGATAGTTAACTATCAAATTATTTTATGTTTTTATATCCTGCATTATTATAAAAAAGATGTAAAGTAATATTTAAAAATATTTAAATATAAAAATATTTAAAAATACAGCAAAAAATAGAAAATAAGTAAAAGAGAATGATTACGATAATCAGAACCCAGGTGCTTTTATGTTCTTCATTCCTGCATACATGTTTCTTAGTGAAAATACTGAGAAAAGGAAGAAAAGGGAGAGAATTGTGTAAGTTAATGTGATATCTGGGAATAAGATAACCTTCTGATTTTACTTCCAGAGGACATGCAGTTTATGAAAACCCTTTGGTTATTCTATCATGTAAATAACTGGTAATACTAGTAAATAATACAACTGTACACCAAGGGGGAAAAAAAAACTGGAGGCTGAAAAACAACCTACCACCACGCAGCACCACACTACGAAGATAACAGCGGCATTCCCAACCCTCAGAGAACACTTCCTGTCTTTTTGTTTGCTTTTGGTTTTCCAAATCCTGGGTCAAATAAAAGCTAAAGTATTAAATATGACTTTTGGTTATTATTTCCTTCTGTTTACATTGGTCACTTAATGCGTTATAAGCTCTGCGTGGAAAAAAATACGTTTAGCACTTTTAAAACTACGGTTTCATTTTAGAAATCAACTTTTAAATTAAAAAAAAAATAGTTCAAAGAATCAAACCTGTATGACCCAAGTGAACCTATTTTAAGTTAAAAATAGAGGAACGTTTTAAGGTCAGAGTCTTCAGTGATCGGTTTCTAACGTGCATGTGTTTTACATACAGGTGATGATCAAATATTTGTTGCATGACCCTGTGAGGGTGGATGTCTAGTAGAGACCATGCTTAATATGCTGGTAACTCACCTTCAGAAATCATTTTTACTATATACAGGTAACACATTAAGAGGCTTCTGATTTCATACTGGTCGAGTCGGTTATACTGGGATACGCTACCCCTTGTAGAATTCTGTCGGGTCTGCAATAGAAAGACAGGACTTTGTCAAACAATATTGGTACTATACTTTTCCATAGCTTTTCACTCAATAACTACTTGTATCATTAGTCCTGTTCGGGATAATTCTAAGCCTAAATCCAGATTTTCTATCATACTTGGAAGGTAAATGAGCCGAATCTTTCTTTGATGCTACTGCACAGAATAGTACTGCTAGAAATTACCTGCGGGTCTTCATCAAGATGACAGCCATGGGCGATGTGTTTCATTCCCTTAAGTTCTGTGTTTCAGTAGCAGTAAAAAATTTAAATAACCATATGTGGCTATTCCAGGAAAGATAGCTTTTACATGGAGGGGGAACTTAACTAAGGTATATGGAAGCACAAACATTTTAAGCTCTTCTATTTTGAATCTTTCAGAGTCTATTAATTAAAATTCAACCTACAAATAATAGGTCAGGAAATCTGTATTTTTTAAAAAGGGCTAATATTACAAGATAATTATATGATGAAGAATCCAGTGATACTTTAGAACTACAGCTTCTACAAACCAGTGATGTTCCTTTTAATGACTTTTGTTAAAATACCAGTTGTTAAGCATGACAAGATCTGACTTATTTGGGGATTTATAAGAATAGAATACTAATAATCTAAAGAGTTTACCTTATTAAAAACCAGTTCTTTCACAGTTGAGCTAAACTGGGCTGGACATATGCATTTACTAAACCAGGATTTACTAAGAACGAACTTTCACTTGGAGCAAAACACTTAGGTTCTGAATGCTTGCTAGCTGTGTGATTACTATTTTTTTTTTAAAGATTTTATTTATTTACTTGAAGAGAGAGACACAGCGAGAGAGGGAACACAAGCAGGGGGAGTGGCAGGGGGAGTGGCAGAGGGAGAAGCAGGCTTCCGGCCCAGCGGGGAG